TCCTTCCACCTTTTAGTCCAGGGTCTGATCATCTCACGCCTCAGTCTCCTAGACTGCCGCCTTGTTTGCTTCAGATTCAGAAAGCCATCTTTTACCTAATTTGAAAGAGTATTATTTCTCAAAAATGGCAATACATTTTTTTAAAGTCAATCTCCTTTCCATGGTGGATAGCTTGCACTCTATCATGTTTCAAATAATAGCAATCACTCAGCCTTTGCTGCCCAAAATACCCTCCAAAACTTAGTGGTTTAAGACAACCAGCATCTATTCGCTCGCAGGTTGGGGGTCGGCTATGTGGGCAGGACCCAGCTGGGCAGTTTTTCTGCCTGTGTCAGCTATTCATCCAGTGAGGCTCACTCAGTCATTCATCGGCTGTCAGCTGGTGGCTTGGCTGGCGCCGGATGACCTGGGATGGACACACTTACCTACCGGGCATTTGGCAGGCTGTGGACGCTACAGTGGCGCAACTCAGGCTTGTTCACCTGGTGGGAGTGAAAAAAGATGGCAGGGAAGTGTGCAAAGCCGCTTGAGGCCTAGGCTAGGAACTCTCATGGCACCTCTTCTTCTGCAATGGGCTGGGGCAATGTAGATTAAAGGGATGAGGAAATAGACCCACCTTTCGAGGACAGGAGTTCCAGTGAATTTTTGGCCATTTTTAATCCACCAACCCCTTCTGGGGAGCATGCCCCTGCCAGCCCTTCTCCCTCTTCTCCCCCCGCCCCCGGCCCCCACCCCTCCGATGCAGGCAAGCATCTCCTAAATTCTAAGTGACCCCAGGAGGCTTGCAGCCAGGGGGAGTAACCCCTGAAACTGTCCCCACATCCCCCTTTTATCTGACTTCCCAGTGAGACAAAGCAGCCCAGCCTAGCTTCTCCAGTGGCTTCTTCCATGCCCTTCCTTGTTTCATTGTCCTGCGTGTGGTTGGCTGTGACCAATAAATTCCTGCTTGTTTTGCTGAAAAAGAAAAAAAAAGTAAAGAAGTGTCTAATGACAAAACTAAAACAAGTTAGTAGTGAGTTTACTGGTTTTTATTCAAGGGAAAACAATCCGTGGATTGGGCACGCACAGGGCCTCCCAAGCAGTGGGGCCCGCCGCCAGAGGGATTTTGTTTCTAGAGCGTTAGGACTGGCTCGAAGGGCGGGGATTTCCTTCTAAGGCCAGCAGGTCCTGTAGTCCAGGGTGAGGTGAGCTCACTGAGGCTGAGTTGAAGGAAGATCAGTGGTCTCTGTTAGCTTTCCTTCCAGGTGTTTCCTTTACGTGCAGGCTGACTTAGGTTTAGATTTGTGACCTGGGCTGGCTGAGCCATGGGGGTGACATCCAGTGTATGGGTCCCAATATGCAAATCGACTTTATCAGAAGCAAAGGAAGTCCCTTCTTAGCTACACAGCCAGGCTCTCAGAGTAACTCAACAGTCACCCTAACTCCTACCTTCCTCAGAGGCATTCATCTGGTACTCGCCTCCCCCCCCCCCCCCCCCGCCCCCCATCCCCACCCCCGCCACCTCAGTCATCCCGCCTAGTTCTGTGGCTCTGGCTCTTTTTCAATATTTTCCCTTTATTTCCTGACTCAGCCTGAGAGAGGCGTCCTTATTGGGCCAGGGCCAGGCCATGCAGCGATCCCTCTCAGGCAGTCCCCACACTAAGTCACCTCCAGAGGGCGCTGCCAGTATAGAGCGTTCTGATTCCCAAAGAGGAGAGGAGCATCAGCAAGACCTCCTGCATAGACCGCAGCCAGTCACCTGCTGACACTATCTTTTTACTTACTCAGCCTGGACAATGCGCGCGCAGGCTTTAGAACAGGCGCAGACCTGCAAGAATTACCTCCACTGTAAAAGCTCCCCACGCCTCCCCAGGCGGAATCAGCAGCTGGCCCCTCTGTGGTCTTGTGTTTTCTCGATTTCTGGACTAGCTGCATTTTGTAGTACTATAGTGAACAAACACTGGGGCAGGGGGCAAGGGGATAGAAACATCTCTGGTAGGCAACATAAGCTCAGACTGCAGGTTCCTGGAAGGTGCCTCTTGTATTTATCTCTAAAGGCTTTGACATACAGTCATTGACTAAGCCGCATAGTCTCACAAAGCTGGCAAATTAATTGATTAATTAAACAAGGAAGCCATTAGACCAGTGGCTCTCAACCTTCCTAATGCCACGACCCTTTAATACAGTTCCTCATGTTGTGGTGACCCCAATTTCATTGTTACAAATTGAACATAATTAAAGCATAGTGATTAATCACAAAAACAATATGTAATTACATAAGTGTTTTCCGATGGTCTTAGGCGACCCCTGTGAAAGGGTCATTTGACCCCCAAAGGGTCGCGACCCACAGGTTGAGAACTGCTGCATTAGACTGAGGTGGATCAGTAGCCTAGGTAAGAAGACCAAAATCCAAGCCTGTAAATGCCTCAAGGTTAAGAAATCAAACTCTAACAACAACCAATCACGGTCAACTAGGCTTTGAGCTATAGCCAATCAATAATTTCCTTGCTTTGCCTTCGCCTTTTCTCTGTAAGTCTCTCCACAGCTCTTGTTAGTAGAGCCCTCCTAACACATCTGGTTTGGCACTGCCCATGGAATTTTTTCTCAAATAAACTCTTAAAACTTTTAATTTGCCTCGATTTATCATTTAACAACACCAAAGTGGCCTACGAAGTTAATTGATTGCCTAAAATCATTTGTATCCCAGTAAGATATATTTCTGAGTGGTTCTGAAAGGGGTTCAACAGCAGGATGGCATTTAATAATCCTTAGTTTCATTATGCTACTGTTCTGTGCCTAGCATTCCTACTGATTCTAAATAATGGACTATTTCCTTTTAGATCAGTATCGGAAATATAATTCATTGACTTGAAGATGAATCATTATAATGAATTTTAGCTTTCATAAATAAGGTACCTGTGTTAGAGACAAACAATCAGTTTTTAGGCTGGGAATATTGTAGAGGAGGAAAATTTTTCTCTTCTGCTCTTCTAGTTTCTGTGGCTGGTTTAAGAATTAAATTGACATAGAACAGATTTTAAAAAGAATGCCCAGCCAGCGTGGCTCAGTGGTTGAGTGTCAACCTATGAACCAGGAGGTCACAGTTCCATTCCCAGTCAGGGCACATGCCCGGGTTGCAAGCTCAATCCCCAATGGAGGGTCGTGCAGGAGGCAGCTGATTAATGATTCTCTCTCATTGATGTTTCTATCTCTCTCTCTCTCCCTCTCTGAAATCAATAAAAATATATTTTTTAAAAGCATAAAAAAAGTTTAATTATGATTTTAGGAGCCCCACTTCAGGCGGCCAGAAGATTTAGGCTTACATACCACCCTGGGCTTAAGGAAAGGGATGGGGCTCTAGGGTTTCAAAGGGGAGGAAGGCAAGTTTTGGGAAGTTGAAAAGAGAAAATGAAATGCTTGGTAAACAAAGGTTGCCCTGCCAGGTAGATAAGTCTAGCCTTTGAGCTACAGCCAATCAATATATATATAATAAAAGCATAATATGCTAATTAGACTAGATGTCCTTTCTTTGGGACAAAGCCACAGTGGGCGGGGGCGCGGCAGAAGCGGCACGTGTGTGTGTGTGTGTGTGTGTGTGTGTGTGTGTGTATATTAGTATATATATGTATATGGAGAGAGAGAGATCTTAAAAGATCTTTAAAAATTAAAATATATATGTATTTTGTGAAATTAATGAGGTAAGGAATATGAAAAAAATGGCATTTTCAAATATTTTGATAAAGCAATTTTTTACCAGCAGACCAGCTTAAAATCTTAAAATTTTAGCTGTTACTTAGTCCACTTACTTTAGAAGTGAAAAAAGAAGATGAGTCAACCTTCCCAGTTATACTAACTGGTAGGCAACAGAGAGAGGACTCCACCCTCCAGGTCCCCTTTGATCTAGCTTTCTTGCCACCAGGCTATACCACCTTTCAAATAAAACAGTATGGATTACCCTCCTATAGTTTACATTTTTATGCTTGCCCAACTTTGGATTCCTTTTTTTTTTTTTTGAATTAATAAAAATAAATCTCCCACTCAAAAAAAGTAGATAGGGCAAAGTTGGCAGTGGATAATCCACTTCCAAACTGTTATTGAACAAAAATTTTGAATTATAACAATTCCTATTTTTGAACACTGGCTTTACACCAGGAACTGCAGTAAGCACTTTTAAAATGTCGTTTCTTTTAATCAGCTCAATGAGACAGGCGTTATTGCTGATGTCTATTTTACAGATAAAGCATCTGGGCGCACTCGCCCACCATCACGCAGTTGGTACAGTTGGCCGGGAACCCCCCCCCCCCCCCCCCCCAGCTCATGCCCTTGACCTCTGAGCTACAGAGACAAAGCGCTGTGGATGGAAGACCATATCCATGGACTGGCTGCGGGCCGCACCGCCTTATACTCACCTTTCATCTCCATCACGTACTAGCACAGGCCCTGGCACTGTGTAAGCCAGTGGTTCTCAACCTTCCTCATGCCGCGACCCTTTAATACAGTTCCTCATGTGGTGGTGACCCCCAACCATAAAATTATTTTCGTTGCTACTTCATCACTGTAATTTTGCTACTGTTATGAATCGTCATGTAAATATCTGATATGCAGGATGTATTTTCACTGTTACAAATTGAACATACTTAAAGCATAGTGATGAATCACAAAAACAGTATGTAACTATATATGTTTTCCGATGGTCTTAGGCGACCCCTGTGAAAGGGTCGTTCGACCCCCAAAGGCATAGAGACCCACAGGTTGAGAACAGCTGGAAGCCTACACTTACCAGTTACTCGAACAAGTAAGGATTATTATTTATTCAATGGTGTTGACTCGCTGTTCAGAACTTAAGCCAGTGCCATGCATTGCTTGGTTGGGGAAATAACGATTGATCGGCAGACACTGGGTGCTGAGGGGAGCCAGGGCCGGGGGAGGGCTGGAGGCGGGCGCTGGGGCGGAGCTCGGTGGGGCCTGGCGCAGGGCGGGCCCTTTGCTGGGGGACCGGCTTCCCGGGCGGGGAGGGCAATCGGGGTGGGACCGGCTCCGCTCCGGGCGGGGACAGGGAGAGGCGGGACCCCGGCCGCAGCAGGCGACGCTCCCGAGCCCCTGCGCCCGTTCGAGTCCCCGTGGTTCCCGCGGACATTCCCTTCCCACAGCGCAGTCCCCGCGGAGGAGGCCTGGACCCCGCGCTCGGTGCGCCCGCGGTTCGAGCTGGGCTCCTGGGACGCGGGGCTGCGGGTGGCGGAGCCGGAAGCCCGGGCTCGGGGCTGAGGGAATCCCCGGGGGCGCGAAGGCGGGAAACGGGGCGGGAACCCGAGCTGCCTTCCGGGCCGAGGGCTGGGCCGAGGGTGGGGAAGGGAGGCCCGGCCGGGTGGAAGCTGGTCGGCAGCCCGGGGCCTTGGAAGGACACGGGGCCGCCACCCACCTGCACCTGAAGGGCACAACCAGAGGGTGACGGCTGGGCCGCCTGCACCAGGCCCCGGGCAGGGGGACCCCGGCCACGGGGAGCGGAGCTGGCGGTGGAGGAGGCGGCGCGGCCCCTGGAAGTGACTGCGGGGAGCGGGCGGTCGGCCGGGAAGGCGGTTCTCCAGGGAGGACACTCCCAGGGGCTCCTCAGGGAGAGCAGCTGGAAGGAGAGGAAGCTCAAGGGAAAATGCAATGAGCTCAGAAGCCTTGTTCTAAGGCAAAGCCCTGTAAACTTTTTTATTTAAAACTAGAGGCCTGACTTGCACGGAATTCATGCAAGAGGAGGCCTTCCTTCCCCCAGCTGCCAGCACCGGCTGCCCTCGCAGCCCTGGCTTTGTCCGGAAGGACATCTGGTCTAATTAGCATATTATGCTTTTATTATGATGATAGATGATTATAGATGTTTGGAGCCAAAAAGGAAAACAAAGTTAGGAGGGAGGATTTTGCATTTAACTATTTCAAATTATTGTATAGTTCTAATAAATAATAACAGTATATCAAATAGTGATGCTTTTTCCATTTTACCCCGTGAGGAATTTTACTGTGTTTATCTTGAGCTGCTATTACGATAATTGTCCTGCCTGAAGGATCAAGTTTTACCCATTTAAGGGATTTTGTATAGAGTTTTGCTCACCTATATGATACACAGGATAATAATTCAGTAAAAAACGGAAAATACACAGCTAAAATTCTCTCAGGTCTAAAAACCACTAATAGTTGTTGGTGTAATATAATGTTAAAAAGAGGAGGACATGGAACTTTTTAATGACCAAATTGTCAAGCAATGTCTGTGTTTTGGTGTACCTCCTCTTAAACAACCATGTGCCCCCACATTACACTGAGTAATGACTGTAGGGGTTTTATCGGCCTTTTACTCTGGACTGGTTGCCACTGCCACTTTCCCGCGTCAGCTCCTCCCTCAGTCTAGAAGGCCTGAACTCCAGATTCCTACTCTCTTCCTCTTTGCCAGAGAACAGTCTAAACAGAGTGTCACATACTTTTCGATGGTATTGATCTTGATTTTTCTAGACACGCGCACCCCCACATCTAAGGGCTGGCTGGTTTGCAAAAGTCACCTCCTCTATCCTTCCTGCATTTCCAGGATTGGGTCCACGGGACTAAACAAACTCTTAATCTTCACTGGACAGCCAGCTGGCTACACCAAAGGTGATCCTTACACAACACAGCAAGAGGATGGCATCACTGAATGACTGCTTTGAGCGTATTAATTTCCAGATGTCTTTTGTTTACCAAACACAATGTGAAAAACAAGGGTATTCATCTACTCTGTAGTGCTGTAACAAAATGCTGCATGCTGGGTGGCTTAAACAACAGAAATTTATTTTCTCACGGTTCTGAAGGGTGGAAGTCCAACATCACGGTGCCAGCAGGGTTGGTATCCCGTGAGGGCTCTCTCCTCGAGGTGCAGACGGCCACCTTCTCACCGTGTGCTCACATGACCTCTCCTCTGTGCGAGCACATAGAGAGAGAGAGGGAGAGATCTTCCTTTTTTTTTTTTTTTTTTCCTTTTTATTGAATTTCTTGGGGTGATACTGGTTAACAAAATTACATAGGTTTCAGGTGCACAATTCTACAACACATCATCTGTACACTGTATTGTATATTCACCACCCCAAGTCAAGTCTCCATCCATCACCATTTATCCCCATTATACCTTCCTCCGCCTCCCCTCATCCCCCTCTCCCTGGCAATCACCACATATTGTCCATATCCATGAGTTTTTCCTCCCTTTTTTTCCCTCTTTTGCTCAATCCCTCCACCCCACCCCTCACCCAGCCCCTTTTTCCCCAACAGCTGTCAGCCTGCTCTCTGTCTATGAGTCTTTCTCTATTTTTGCTTGTTAGTTCCTTTTGTTCATTAGGTTCCACATATGAGTGAAATCATATGGCACTTGTCTTTCTCTGGCTTATTTCACATAGCATAATGCTGTCACAAACTGTAAGATTTCCTTCTTTTTTATGGCCGAGTAGTATTCCATTTGTGTAAATCACTTTTTTTTAATTGTCTAAAGTTTTACATAAGTCTCCTTTTTCCCCAGTTGACCCCCCGCCCCCAGACATTTCCAACCCAGGCAAGCCCCCACCGCCCCAGTGTCTGTGTCCGTTGGTTATGCTAATATGCATGCATACAAGTCCTTTGGTTGCTCTCTAACCCCCCCCCCCCCCACCTCCCCTGCCATTTGTCTCTGGATCTATTCTTGTTCATCAAATTATGTTGATCATTATATCCCACATATGAGTGAGATCATGTGATATTTATCTTTCTCTGACTTGCTTATTTCACTTAGCATAATGCTCTCCAGTTCCATACATGCTGTTGCAAATGGTAAAAGTTCCTTCTTTTTGTATAGTGGCATAGTATTCCATTGTGTAGATGTATCAAAGTTTTTTAATCCACTATTCTGCTGATGGGCACTTAGGCTGTTTCCAAATCTTAGCTATTGTAAATTGTGCTGCCATGAACATAGGGGTGTATATATCCTTTCTGATTGGTGTTTCTGTTTTCTTGGAATATATTCCTAGAAGTGGGATCACTGGGTCGAATGAGAGTTCCATTTTTAACTTTTTGAGGAAACTCCATACTGTCTTCCACAGTGGCTGCACAAGATCTTCCCTATTTAAAATGTTTTCTTAATTTTTCTTTTTTAATGGATGGTAGAGACAGGACTGCAAAGTTAGTCCTTTCTTTGTGCGTACAGGAATGCCTCGTCTTCCTCTTCTCATATGGCCACAGTCCTATTGGATAAGGGCCCCATCCTTAGGACCTCATTTAACCTTAATTACTTCCTAAAGACCCTATCTCCAAACACAGTCACTTTGGGATGTAGTAGTACTTCAACACATGAATTTGGGAGAGGTTCACAAATCAGTCCATAGCAATAACCACAGTACTAGGAAACACAGCAACAATATTTGTGGCATGAGAGGTATTTTAAATACCTTAAATTGAGAATACCTATGTTTAAAGATTTAATAATATATCAGATTTTTAAGTCCAGCCATACTGATGGCAAGGAGATGAGTGTTGAACAGTGGCATAATTAATTTTTATATGGTAGGGATAAATAATTTTTACATGTGTATATATCAGTACACTAATGTTAGATTTCTTTAGAGAAAACTCAGTGAGGGTGGAGCTGCAGAAATGGAGAAGCCATAACGCACTGGCTATTGTTAATGGGCATAACAAAAATTCTGAGTGGAATGGAGCTCAAGTAGGTCCTCTGAGTAGAGGACAGAAACGTTAGTATTTATTACTACTGTTGTAGTGCGTTAGATTTTGTTATTTGTTTGTTTTAACAGTATTTACTCGGCACTAGTTTGGATATGAATCAAAGCAGCGATGGATGTGTGAAAAAGATTAGCAGTGTGAATCTTGACAAACTTATAAATGACTTCTCACAGATAGAAAAGGTATGTAAAGATATCAAACAGTTGAAGTGAATAGGGAAAAAGTGAACAGATTTTGCCAGTGGAAGGAGTTGGAAAGAAAGAAAAATGTACAACCCAAAATGAGCAGGGTAAAGACAATGGGAATGTACTTGCTAAGTAAGTCCTTAAACATCCGTATTTAAAATATATATGGTTTTGGCTCATTTGCACTAATGCATCAAAATGTCAAGGCAATAAATAATTGATAAAGTTTTGCTAAAGTTAAAGGGAAAATACTTAAATGCCCAAGATGGCCATAAACTCAGGAATGATTTAGTAAGAATTGAAGTAGATTCAGTCCTCAGTGTCTTACCATTATGACTAAAAGGTTTTTTAGTCTTTCCTATTCTACCTCTTCCCTTTCCTTCTCTTTTGCCTAAAAGCAGACCCACTTGAAGTCCTCCCTCCACAACTCTGGACAAGTTTCATGATATGGTATTTTTTAAGAGTCTTATCTCTTACAGACACATAAAGATGGTAATATTTATAGATGAAATAAAATAATGTCAGAGAGTTGCTTTGAGATAAATTCAGAAGTGAAGACAACAGGGAAGTGGCTATAGAAGATACGAGACTGGTCATGAATTGATAATTTCTGAAGGTGTTTGATAAGTTTATAGCAGCTGTTATACTATTCACACAGATATCAGAGAGATATATTCAAGAATGTTTATTTATTGTCTGCAAAGGCAAAAAAGTGGAAACAACACAAATTTTCCTCAGTAGTGAACTACTTAAATAAATTGCAGAATATGCATACATGACACTTAGTGCAGCTATTAAGAGAATGAGGTAGACCTATATGTGCTTATATGACATCATCTCAAGAGAATAGTACTAAGTGCAACATAGTACAGAGCAGAGTATAATATGATCCTTCCCTTCAGGTATCTAATCTAATAAAAGAGAAACATGCAAATTGACCGTACCTTTGCTATGCCCCAAGCCACGCCCACCAGCCAATCAGAGCGACTATATGCAAATTAACCCAACCAAGATGGTGGCTGGCAGCCACGGAGCTAGAGCAAGCAGGAAGCTTGTTTGCCCTGGCAATGGAGGAAGCCAAGCTTCCTGCCTGCCCTGGCTGGCTGTGGCCTCTGCCAAAGGCAACAAAGTTTCAATTATAGAAGACAAATAAATCCCAGATACCTGCTTCCAGCCACCCTCCACTGGGAGCTTGGGTGGCTGGGGGCCATGGCCAGCCTGCAAACAGCCATCAGCCCCTCACCTAGGCTGGGCAGGCACCCCAGTGGGGACCCTCACCCTGAAGGGGCTGTGGCCAGCCTGCAAACAGCCATCAGCCACTCACCCAGGCTGGCCAGGCACCCCAGCAGGACCCCCCTCCCATATAGGGGGTGTGGCCAACCTGAAAACGGCCCTCAGCCCCTCACCCAGGCTGGCCAGGCACTCCAGCAGGGACCCCCACCCTGAAGTGGGTGTAGCCAGTCTGAAAACGGGCCTCAGCCACTCACCCAGGCTGGCCAGGCACCCCAGCGGGACCCCCACCCTTAACCGGGGACATGCTTCAGGGCAAACCAGCCAGCCCCCACCCATGCACCAAGCATATAATAAAAGGGTAATATGCAAATTGACCCTAACAGCAGAACGACTGGGAATGACTGGTCACTATGACACACATTGACCACCAGGGGGCAAGCGCTCAATGCAGGAGCTGCCCCCTGGTGGTCAGTGTGCTCTCACAGGGGGAGCTCTGCTCAGCCACAAGCCAGGCTGACGGCTGCTAGCACAGCAGTGATGGTGGGAGCCTTTCCCGCCTCCTCAGCAGCACTAAGGATGTCCAACTGCAACTTAGGCCTGGTCCCCACTGGCAAGTGGACATCCCCCAAGGGCTCCTGGGCCGCCAGAGGAATGTCTGACTGCCAGCTTAGACCCGATCTCCCAGGGAGTGGGCCTAAGCCAGCAGGTGATCATTCTCCGAGGAGTCCCAGACTGCATGAGGGCACATGCCGGGCTGAGGGACCCCCCCCCCCCCCGAGTGCACAAATGTTTGTGCACCGGTCCTCTAGTATAATCATAAAATATTTGGGAAACACACAAAAAGAATTGTTAACCATGGGACTGAGGGTTGAATGGTTAGAAAGAAGGGAGTTCAAGTTATGTCAGATATTAAGTAGTCTGTATTTTCATTAGTCTTTATATGCTTAGGTAAGAAAATCATATTAACAGCATTGATTTGGTTATGATATATATTGTTTTCTCTACAGAAAATGGTAGAAACTTCTGGAAGGAACAACGTACTGAATATGCAGTTGGAAAAAGCTAACTGTTTGTTAAAAGGAATGCAAACAAATGAGGCCTCACTTAAAGAAGGTTAGTTCTTGGCTGCCTGGAAAAATACTAATATCATGAGAGTGCTTTTGGGTACAACAGTGATTAATATTGCACCATGCGTTTGTAAAATATTTAAAATTCACACAGCACTTTCTAGACTGTCATTTTATCCTTAATATAGCCCTAAAGGACAGGTAGGACTGATTTTATTACTCCACGTCAGTAATGAAGAAAATAAGATAAAAGAAGTTAAATAATTTATCTGAGTCCACTCAGCTAAGAAATGGCAAATCCAAGAATCAATCCAGGCTTTCAAAATCATGGGGGAAAATACAGTTGAATTCCTGCCTCACAATAACTCCAAAATAAATACCAGGTGGGTAAAAAGTTTAGTGTTAAAACGGGCGGTCCCAGTCTGGCGCTCTCCCCTGTGTTCTGAGACACCTACGCCACGTGTTGCTCAGCTCCCCATGGCCGCCCTCTCAGCTGCACCCACCCTCACTGTGCCTGACAGGAGCCTGGGTTCCCTGCGCTAGGGCTGGGCCCTGTGGAGGTGGCGTTTCTCTGCGGGGCTTGCTTTCAGGGAGGGAAACTGGTTAGTTTGGGGGCAGGATTGCAGACATAGTCATTTTTCACTAGTTTTGCATTTCATGTGTATTTTATATTTGAAAATATAATTAAACACTTTTTAAACATCCAGTTCTCATTTTAAATCTAATGGCCTTTTGGCTAGATAATACGCAGCAGAAGTAAACGAACTAGTATGATTGACAACTCATAAAGTCAAGTGTGTGCTAATTCACTTAGAGAAGAACAAACTCTATATACAATTGAATTTGTTCAACAATAAAGAATGAGATCTTGATATTTTATTTTCCACATTTAACACCAGATAAAAAAATTTCTTTGCCATTTCAAGATGATAAATAATATTAGTACTGAGGACTAAGTGCTATAAAAATTATTGTCATGCATAATTGTATTTAACATTTCCAACTGCTTTATGAAATAGGTGTTAATATGCAAATTACTAGTTAATGGTAGAGCCTAAATTTGAGCTCAACAATTGATTAAATTATATAGGATAAGAAGTAGTTTAGTATTCTGAACTATAGTTTTTAAGAGTTGAATATGACAATAGTATTGTTCCAACTATATTATAAAGTCTATTAGAAATGATAATTGGGTAAATGTTTGCAAAGAGAATTGAAAGCTATTATTCTAAAATAATGAATGGTGTTCTAAGGAACAATTCCTTATTGAGCCAGTTTCCTTTGTTTAAAAAAATGTGTTGGGAGAGCCACCTTGTGTTCAAATTGTGAAATGCACATTTTAAAAACATGCAGTATACTTCCAGTTTCAGGACTCGGTTTTCAATTTGCTGAGTACTGAGGTCCCATATTGCATGAATTACTGGGCTCATGCTTCTAAAAGACACAAAGACAAGTGATAGCGGAGCCTATGCCCCCTTAATTTTTTTAATTGTAGCAGCTAACATGGTAACATACGCGAAGCAGGTATTGTCACGTGTAATTTGACCATCGTCCTTACTGGGAAATAGCAAGAGAGGGGAAAAATGGAGGATGGGGGGAACTTTGTCTGAGTAGATGGTGGGAATGATACCCATCAAAGGCTTAGCTGTTGCTGGTGGTACCCGAGAGTACACTGAAAGCTTCATGCACACATCAGGGCACTAATGCTTGCAAGGCTTTGTCTCCCACGGTGGAGAAGTCACTGGCACCAAAGCGCTGATGCCCTGTCACTCACCATGTTGGGTGTTTACTCCTTTAGTCACTACTGCCTTGCCCTGGAACTCGGGCATAAAAATACTAAGAGGACAGGTCTGAGGACAGGGAGGAAGTAAAGCAGTGTCTCATCCCAGAGCCACCTCACCAGCTCTGACTGTCTATCTTTGAACAAAACTTGATGTACCTCGGCTCTCTGTCCCCGGATGTTCTTTCATGGGAAACTCACATGGATGCTCCTCAAAGTCCCCCCGGCAGTCCACATGTGCCTCACTTCTAGGGCAGGTCTTGCTGAGGTACATGAGCGGCTCCCTGTCCTACGGCATTTATTGTGCCTTAGAGAACTCTACTAAATCCTGAATTGCATTTGACTTTAAGGGTGGTTGTTATATAATTTACTTTGAGATGCCTGATAGCTTTGTTAAGATCTGCTCATTGTCACAAACAGTATTTTATTTTATGTATTTCAACTTTGAGAAAATGATTCCAAAATGAAAGCAAATAATCTTCAAATACATTTATCTCTTATGTTTTAGAATGTGCTACTCTTCATAATATGGTAAAAGGGCTACAACAGACCATTGAATATCAACATAATTTGAAAGGTAAGTTAGACAAAAAATAAATCTTAAAAAATATGATGTATTTAAGCACCTTTAAAGATGAGAATTTTTAAATTGTTGACAATAAGTTCCTTTTAATTTGGTCTTGTTAAATTTATCAGCAAAAGGAAGGGCACCTTACTACTGAGTAATACATCCTCAATTATTAAGAAATGAATGCCATGCTGAACAGAACAGTTCAGTCCTATTCTGACAGGAACATCAGGGTTTTATAAACTATCATAATCATTCTCTTTATTACTTTCAAATGTTTCAAAGTATATTTGCTCCCAGTAGTACTCTTGCTTTCAGTACCCATGTTCAGTTTTGAAGGGTAGATGTTCACTAGTAGTTGCACAGTGAATATTCTACTCAAAAACTGCAATGATCACCCTAGCTGGTTTTGCTCAGTGGATAGAGCAACAGCTGCAGACTGAAGAATCCCAGGTTTGATTCCGGTCAAGGGCACATGCGCAGGTTGTGGGCTCGATCCCCAGTGGGACGCAAGCAGGAGGCAGCCAACCAATGATTCTCTCTCATCATTGATGTTTCTATCTCTCTCTGGCTCTCCCTTCTCTGAAATCAATAAAAAATATGTTTAAAATTTTTTTTAAAAAAAACTACAGTGATCGTTTCCTGCTCAATTCCTCATCCAAGATACTAAAGAAAACCAACTCATTGAGTATATAATGAATCCAAAAACAATGCACACTTAAGGCTTTCCTCCTGGTCTGATACCAAAGGAGAATAACCAATTTTAGAAAAGTATATTGCAAAATTATTAGAATCCAAGAGATTAAAGTGGATTTTGGCTAGGTCAGAGGAAGATTACTTGTCAAATATCAGAATCAGGTGGATCCTACAGTGACACAAAATGCTATTTGAATTTATAACTACTCTAGCCAGAGCAGCAACAACCTTACACCTTAAGGGAGTAGCCATATGTGTTTGAAAACCTAGTGTTGAGTCTGGTAGGATGATGGGAAAAAGCATTGCTAACAATAATCACATGTCAACTGCACTACAGATGAAAGCCAACATAGAGCCAGCTGAAATATCTATAATAATAGAAGCATAATATGCTAATTAGACTGGATGTCCTTCCGGATGATCTTCCAGACAAAGCTGGGGCTGCAAGGGAAGCCAGGGTCCAGGTGCCAAAGGGAAGCCCAGGTCCCAGGTGCCAGAGGGAAGCCAGACAGCCAGGGGAAAGAAGACCTACTCTTGCACGAATTTCGTACATTGGGACTCTAGTAATCCAATCTAATAAAAGAGAAACATGGTAATTAGCCGTACCTCTGCTACCCTTCCCATTGGCTAATCAGGGCAATATGCAAATTAACTGCCAGCCAAGATGGTGGCCAGCAGCCAGGCAGCTTAAAGCGAACATGAGGCTTGCTTGCTTCAGTGACGGAGGAAGACAACATTCCCCGCCTGCCGCTGCCGGCCTCTGAGCTTTCAGTTTGAAACATTGTTACAAATATAGAAGCTAAACAAAACCCCGGAAACCTGCTTTCAGCCAGCCGGGATCTCAGAGCTGGATTTGAAAGTGTTTCGATTATAGAACCCAAACAAACCAGATACCTGCTTTCAGCAGCCGAGGCCTCAGAGCTGGAGCCAAGCCTCAGAGCTAAAGCTGGCCCAGAATAAAAAAAAGGAAAAAAGGAGCGGTTGGGAGCTTCAGTCACCCGCCAGCCTGAAAACAGCCCTCAGCCCCTCACCCAGACTGGCCAGGCACCCCAGTGGGGACCCCCACCCTGAAGGGGGTGTGATCAGCTGCAAACAGCCATCAACCCCTCACCCAGGCTGGCCAGGCACCCAAGCGGGACCCCCACCCTGATCCAGGACACCCTTCAGGGCAAACCAGCCGGTCCCCACCCGTGCACCAGGCCTCTATCCTATCTAGTAAAAGGGTAATATGCCTCCCAGCACTGGGATCAGCGAAGCCGCGAGGCCTCCCAGCACCGGGATCAGCGTGACAGGGGGCAGCGCCCAAACCCTCTGATTGCCCTGCGGCTCTGTGTGTGACAGGGTGCAGCGCCCCAACCCCCCGCCCCCCCCCATGGGCCCTGCTCTGTGTGTGACGGGGTAGAGCCATAACCTCCCCATCGGCCCTGCCCTGAGTGTGACAGTGGCGGCACCCCAACCCCCTGATCCTCCCTGCTCTGTGTGTGACAGGGGGCAGTGCCCCAACTCCCCTATCGGCCCTACTCTGTGAGTGACGGGGGAAGCTCCTCAACCCCCTGATCGGCCCTGCTCTGTGCGTGACAGGGGGGAGCTCCCCAACCCCCTGATCGACCCTGCTCTGTGCGTGACAAGGTACGGAGCCCCAACCCCCCTGATGGGCCCTGCTCTGTGAGTGACAGGGGGCAGCGCCCCAACTCCCTGATTGACCCTGCTCTGTGCATGACAGGGGGTGGTGCCGCAACCTCCCCATCGGCCCTGCCTTGAGTGTGACCGGGGATGGTGCCCCAACCCCCCAATCGGCCCTACCCTGAGCGTGACTGAGGGTGGCATCGCAACCTCCCGATCCGCCCTGCTTCTTGCATGACAGGGGGCGGCGCCCCAACTCCCCAGTCAGCCCTGCTTTGAGCCCGACCAGGGGCTGCACCTAGGGATTGGGCCTCTCCTCTGCCACCCGGGAGCAGGCCTAAGCCAGCAGGTCGTTATCTCCCGAGGGGTCCCAGACTGCGAGAGGGCACAGGCCAGGCTGAGGGACCCCCCCTCCCCCCCAAATGCACAAATTTTTGTGCACCGGGCCTCTAGTATAATATAAAGCATTAAGGAGGTCCAGTTTCTACAGCAGATGGCTTTAGTTCACAGCTAAGCATGTGGTGCTATTCAGCCTACATACAGATATGCCAAAGCCAAATAATGTGCAAGGGCTACAGCATTTAGATGGGTTGACCAATTTTCCTGGCAGAGGGAAGACTTAACATTATTAAAATGTCCATTTTCCTGAAGTTAATAAACACATTTAACGCAATCTTAATTAAAACACTAACTTTTGGCCCTGACTGGTTTGGCTCAGTGGATAGAGCGTCGGCCTGCGGACTGAAGGGCCACAGGTTTGATTCCAGTCAAGGGCATGTACCTTGGTTGCAGGCACATCTCCATTAGGAGGTGTGCAGTAGGCAGCTGATCGATGTTTCTCTCTCATCGATGTTTCTAACTCTCTATCCCTCTCCCTTCCTCTCTGTAAAAATCAATAAAATATATATTTTTTAAAATACTAAATTTTGGGTGGGAGAGAAGATTGTATACAATAATATTAAAATTCATTTGACAAAAAACAAACAAACACACAAGAATAAACAAGAAAACTAAGAGGAAGGAGAATTTCCATTACCAGATAATAATATGCTCTGAATTTGTTAGAATGAAATTGATATGGCATTTGACATAGAAATTGAAAAATATATTCATGGAAAGAATAGAGAAACAGATTCTAGAAAAGGCCCCAATATTTGTTACTGTAATATTTCAATGTATTGGAAAAAAGAATGGCATTTCAACATACAGTACTGACACAACCAGCTTTCCATCTGGAGGAAAAGAAAGTTGGACTCTCCTACCACATCAAAAATAAATTCCAGATGAACAAAAGACTTTAGTGTAAAAGAGAATACAAACTTAAAGGAAAATCTAGGCTACATGTACAACCTAATACCATGTACTACTCTTCATAATATGGTAAAACCACTCTGGGAACCTCAGACGTAATATAAGGGAAAAACAGAACTAACAGACTTTTAAAAACAGAATGAATAGACTTTTTAAAAAATATATTTTTATTGATTTCAGAACGAGAGGGAGAGATAGAAACATCAATGATGAAAGAGAATCATTGATCAGCTGCCCCCTGCACACCCTACACTGGGGATCGAGCCTGACCGGAAATCAAACTGTGACCCCCTGGTTCATAGGTCAATGCTCAACCACTGAGCCATGCCAGCCGGGCAGGACTAATAGACTTTCTTATGCAACAAGAGCACCAACAATAGCAACAAGAAAGGACTTGGCATATCATTTTGTCACACAGAAGTCAAAAAATAAATAATTTATTTCAAAACATGATTTCAAATACTAACGTAATTTAATATCTACAATATACAAAGAGCTCTACAAATTGACTAGCAAAGATAAATGAAAAAAGTATAATGGGCAAAAGATATGACTGAAACTATGAGAATGTGTATGTATATATGCATAGGTATGATCCAGAGATCAAGAGCACGGAGAAAAACACAGAAGGATACACAATTATACCAGGGGTGTGGAGGTGGAGAGAGAAAAAAAGAGGGAGAGGAAGAAGGTAGAAAGAAAGCAAGAGAGAGGCAAGATTGTGCTAAGAGTATCGCAACATGTATGCTGTGATCCTACTTATGTAAAATTATAAAAATGCATGCATAGAAAAACTACAGACTTGAAGGAATGTCTATTTTTAAGAAATAAGTTCTTTGCAAAGTAATATGTATAGTACACTTTTATATTGGTAAAAACAAATGAAACCAGTAGAAATGTGTGATGTGTTTACATATAGTTGTATAAGCTGGGGAAAAGTAGGGAAGGAATACACAGGCTGTAAGCATTGATACCTTCAGTGAGGTGAGTGGGAGGGGAGAGATGCTTAGCTTCCCTTTAACCACTTTTCTTAGTACCACTCTCTCCTGGTCTCTGGACACGTCCCAGTCTCCTTATACAGTGGTTCTCAACCTTCCTAATGCTGCGACCCTTTAATACAGTTCCTCATGTTGTGGTGACCCCCAATTTCATTGTTACAAATTGAACATAATTAAAGCATAGTGATTAATCACAAAAACAATATGTAATTATATATGTGTTTTCCGATGGTCTTAGGCGACCCCTGTGAAAGGGTCCTTCGACCCCCAAAGGGGTCGCGACCCACAGGTTGAGAACCACTGCCTTATAGGATAGTCTTCCTTTGGCCACACCCAAATGTTTCTCAGGAACGTTCTCAAATGCACATAGTAAAGCTGTAGGTTCATTATCTCATTCCTAGAAATCTTCCCCTTTTAATGTTTCCCAAACTGTTGCATATTTTTCACATACCCAAACCAGAAACCGAAAAGGTGGAGATCCCCCCTTCTCTTTTTTTTTTCTCCATGCCCCCCACCCCCTTTCTCTTTTGCAATCAGCCACTAATGCTCCTGGTGACTCTCATCTAAATCCTTATCTTTATTTTTTCCTTTGTCTCCTACTGCCACTGACCTAACTTAGGGTCCTGTTATTTCTTACTTGATCTGCCTTTTCTGACATCCATGCCTCTGGGGTCAAAACACTCCCATCATCCTCCGCACTGCCAAATAATCTTAACTGTAATCATTTCACTTCACTATTCAAATTTCTTCAACGCCTCTGTAAAATTCATTGATGACTCCATAAAATAAAATTTAAAGTCAGACCTCCTACCAGGCTATGGCCCCAACCTACTTAACACACCTTCCTCAGGGTTTACTCCAACAGTGCTGTACTTCAGTTGTCACTTTCCCACGCGTGCTGCGCTCACCCCAGCCCACAGTCTTCTGAAACGCCCCCTCCCACCTGGGGTGAGCCTTAGCATTTAAGTCTCAGCTGAGATGCTTCCTCCTCAGTGTACTCTCACCTGACCTCATTCTGACGTGGGCTTTTGTCCCACAGGCCCCACGTACTTCAGACACACTGCCACTGCAGGGCGGCCATGGCGCATCACAACGACTTACACATCTCTCACCACAGGCTGCACAATTTGAAGAATGATTATATTTTTGTCTCACCGTTCCAGTTTCACGTACTCTGTGCATATGCAATAGGTGTGTAATAGATGCTGTTTTCAAGGGTTGAGTAGTACATACATGAACGGAAACTTGAAAGGTGACATGTGTTCCCATGTAATTGAAAGGCGCTGTATATTAGGATGCTCTTTGATGGTTTTTACGCAGGTAAAAATGAACAACTGAAAAGAAATGCTGATCTTATGAAAGAAAAGTTAAAATCTCATGAACAGGTGAGTGTATGTATCTTTGTATCAATCAAGTCCCTGTAGAGCATTTGTCTTCTAAATTAGAAAAAAAAAAAAGTGGTTGTTTTCATTAATAAAGATAGCCAAAATATAGAGTAAATATATATGTGTGTGAGTGTGTGTGCCAGAATTTGTAACAAATGAAAATTTTTAAAGAAATAGAAATTCTGAGGACTCTAGTCTTCTTGCAGACTGTAATGTACTAATATGTCACTTGTGCTTTTTCTTTCTACCAAAAAAAAATGCAACTATTTTGTTACATATTTTTAAGTTATGTTAATAGAGTTTTTACTCTAGAGTATACATACTTTATTAGCACTTTTCAACTTTTTTACTACAAAGTAAATGAGTGTTTAATCTTTATGACTTGAGTAATATATTACAGTTTTATTGCACCATTTAAATGAAGGGAGTACTTAACCGCCAATTAATTCTCTCCAAGGGCCACCATACCCTCTGTTACCTTTTCTTTTTTCCCATAAGAACAGCATAGTGTTAGCAACTATAGAACATACACACAACACAGTGACTAGAACATAAAGGTGCTCGGTAAACGTCAGTTCCCACCCCTCTGCCCTTTGGGAAGTTGATCACACTAATTAGTCTCCTCTCCCGAGAGCCAATATGTCAAACTCTGGCCTAAGATTTCCAAAATTCTAGTTGGATCTGTATGAAACTTAGAACTTCAGTTGGAAGGACCATCTCTAAATTCAATCTGGTTCCTCATTCGAGGAGCCTCTGAAGAAACACAATCTAATTCTAACGCCCTGCAGACCTCCTAGGTATCACTCAGATGAAATAACTGGCATCTGGCTGCGCTCTTGGAAAATGTCGTCTCTCATCACTAATTCTGAGACAATTTAAACATCTCTGGAATATATCCCATGGTTTACTTTCCCCTTTCCTTTATCCTTTTTCCTTATTCTTTCCCATCCTTTCCATAGCTCATCTTTAGAGCTCAACAATAGATAGTGAAGTCAGAGTGTAATTGGGGTAGAGAGAAGGGGAGAAATGTTTGCCTCTTTTCTCATCTCAGGTGTCAAGCCACAGAATACTGCTTTTTCTAGAGTACCATAGGGATTTTCAGAGGGTGGAACTTGATGAGAAAACACCACAGCCCAAGATTCTGCACTTCTAAATTAGCTACTGTCCAAAGCAAACCGAAGATGACCTCAATCCAATGAGAATTCTCTAGTACAAAACCTCCAGGCATATCCAAAACATGAAAAACCACTACCCAGAAACAAACTCAGGAGGTACTTAATAAGCATGTTATGGGACTGGGAGAGGTTTTGTAACTTGTAGTCAGAGAATCCTTAAGTTTTATAAAAACAAAAATACAACCAGAGGCTATTCCTTGGCATTTAAGTTTCCCAAAAGGCAACCAAGAATAACTTGTTGGGACTTGGTCCCCTTTGAAAGAGGAAGGACTGGCCCAGGCTGAAGTGGGGGAGAAGAATCCAGTGTGATAGAGCCCAGCCCAAACACAGTCTCCATGCCTAGGGATGGGAGTGAAGACCCTGGGTCTTACCAATTAACAGAAGTATTCCACTTTAGTGATGGCATCTTCAGATGGCAAAGTCAATGGGGAATGAAAAGATAGATAGGTTTGTCTCTTGTTTCTCAGAGCAGTAACTGCTTAGTGCACCCAGTTGAGTCAGGAGTAGTTTATGAAAACCACTCAGTAGTTGCCCACTTTGGAACCTAGATACGTGCATATGAGGAATGGCAATTCATGAGATTCACCCAAATTCACCTGTATAGCTTTAATCAAAGTCAGTGTTTGGATAGGTTTGGCCATTCCTGCAAATTGCCTGGCAGGGTAAGTATCACAGTATGAATCTGGACTATATCCCCTTGAACTTATGTAACCTGGACAGATGTGCCTCTATGTTTAATCATAGCCATCTAAGCCAGGAGAGCTGGACTTTTTTACCTCTTCAGTATCACTGAATATCTATGAAAAGCTGTGAACCCTCTCTGAGGAGAAAGTTCATCAGTACATATGCACACATACCTATAATAATAAAAGCATGATATGCCAATTAGACTGGACATCCTCCCGACGGCCTTCTGGACGAAGCCTGGGCTGCGAGAGAAGCCCAGGTCCCAGGTGCCTGCCGGCGGCCGGAGGGAAGCCCGGGTCCTGGGTGCCAGAGGGCAGCCAGTGTCAGAAGCCTGGGGAAGGAAGGCCTACTCTTGCACAAATTTCATGCATCGGGCCTCTAAGCCTATATAATAAAAGGCTAATATGCAAATCGACCGAACAGTGGAATGACTGATGGCTATGATGCGCACTGACCACCAGGGGGAAGATTATCAATGCAGGAGCTGCTCCCTGGTGGTCATTGCACTCCCACAGGGGGAGCACTGCTCAGCTAGAAGCCGGGTTCATAGCTGGTGAGCACAGTGGCGGTGGCAGGAGCCTCTCCTGCCTCCACAGCAGCACTAAGGATGCCCTACTGATGGTTTAGGCCTGTGGGGAGCGGTTCTAAGCCATCAGTTGGACATCTCCCAAGGGCTCCCGGACTGTGAGAGGGCACAGGCTGGGCTGAGGGGAACCCCCCAAGTGCATGAATTTCATGCACTGGGCCTCTAGTATATGTATAATTTTACATACAATTTCAGGAAGTTAATGGATCCTCAAAAGCCCATTTACTGGGTCTAAGCTAAGAATTTCTCACGTAATTTTTTAAATTTATCTTTATTGTTGAAAGTATTGCAGACATCCCCCCTTTTTTCCCATTGATTCCCTCCACCCTGTACCTGCTCCTTCCAGGCCTTCACTATTGTCTGTATTTATGAGTTATGCACATATGTTCTTTGGTTAATCATTTCCCACTCCCACTCCCACTCCCACCCCTGCCTCCCCTCTGAGATTCGTTCTGACTTAATTTTTGTTGGCACTCTCATTCATTCAACAAATATATATCAGCAGAGAGACACTAGGAGGCAGACATACAACAGTGATTCAAAGCGAAGCCCCTGTCTCATAGTGTTCAGAGGCTTTTCTTGACCGCTTGCCTTCATTGCTGTCTCTTTCTTACTACCTTCTTCACTGTTCTTCCCACTGTCCTTTCCTCTGCCTACATCTTGGGCCTGTGAGTGATTTCTTTATGTGGGGACATCCCACTGAGAAAATTGTGAATTTTATCTTTGGGGACTTTCTCTTTCGAGGCCTACTTAATGCCCCTCTCCACATTAGCATAATATGCTCCCACAACCTAGGAAGCAAATCTCAGGCACCTGCTGAGCACGGCTCAAATCCCAAACCCATCCTATTCTAGCCTCCTTTATAAAGCTCTTTACGATGGGTAATGCTTACTCTCCTTCTGGGAATTAGGGATGTTTGTATAATTTTTAGATACTGAAGTTCATCCCACATTCATAAGGATTCATCCTACTTTAGGGAAAGCTGGTTGTCTATTGAATAGGGAAAGCTGGTTGTCTATTTATTTTATTTTATCATTGGCTCTGAAGTATAACTTTGGCTTTTATTGGACCTATTTTAGTGCTGTCATGGTGTTTGTTCATAAAATGAAACAAAATGTTTCAAGCATCTATGAAATGCGCAACACTAGTGATGAGTACTCAGAAAGCAAAAGTAAAAAGACATTGTCTCTAGATGGCCTCTGTCTCCTCGGACCAGAAATTGGTCCTTCTGAAAGCTGATTGAAACTGAACAATATCTTTCCCTTCTAGATATGATTACATATCAAAAATTAATATAAAATTTGACAATTTTACCTTTCTAATTAATCAAAAGTAGCATGCACATATTTAAATTGAAGAATGAATATATTTTAATCTTTAGGAATATAAGAATAGCGTTGCCAAACTTATAAGTGAAATGAAAATCAAAGAGGAAGGACATAAGACAGAATTAAGGAAACTTTACCAGGATATGCAGAAAAAAGGTAAGTTTTTATTTTTAATTTACTGAATTCTAAGATATCATAAAACAATTCAAATGCATATATTAATTTTTATTGAGTGAACACTGCCTTGATGTATTTTAATTTAGGTTTTGTACCTAAATTATGTGATATAAATTACAACATGTCTAAATTGGATTCATGGTGTTTACACTTAATATTATTTTCTATGAAACAATGTATAAAATTAATATAAAATGTATAATTTATAACTTTGATATTTATATACTCAGCATATTGAATATCATTTCACTAATGAAATTTTCTACCTTCAGTAAAGCAAATCTTATGAGCCTATGTTGAGAGTTAAGTAGTTTCATAAGGGTGTTAAAAGTCTTTCCTTTTTAAAATTTATTTTGTTTTATTTTATTTTTCTTTATTGATTAAGGTATTACATATGTGTCCTTATCCCCCCATTGCCCCCCAACCCCACACACACTCGTGCCCTCACCCCCCTGGTGTCTGTGTCCATTGGTGATGCTTATATGCATGCATACAAGTCCTTTGGTTGATCTCTCCCATGTACCCCACCCTCTTCTACCTTCCCTCTGAGGTTTGACAGTCTGATCAATGCTTCTCTGTCTCTGGATCTGTTTTTGTTCATTATTTTATGTTGTTCATTCTTAATGAGACCTTATTTATGTACATTATGCAAAAATCAACTTGAAATAGATGACTGATGTAAATGTAAACCTGCATCTATAAAACTGCAGAAAGAGTGCATAGAAGATTATCTTTGCAACCTTGAGTTAGGTACAACTTCTTGGAAAGAAACAAAAAGCACAAATAATAAAGAAAAAAATTCTAAATTGAACTTCATCAAAATTATTTATTTCTGTCTTTCAACACTGTTAGCAAGATGAAAAGACAGGCCATAGACTGGGAAATAATACTTGCAAATGCATACCTGCTAAAGGACTTATATCCAAAATTTTAAAAAAGCGCTAACAACTCAATAATAAGCCACACAACCCAATAAAAAAATGGGCAAAAGCCCTGGCTGGTTTGGCTCACTGGATGGAGCGTCGGCCTGGGGACTGGGGGGTCCCGGGTTTGATTCCGGTCAGGGGCATGTGCCTTGGTTGGGGGCACATCCCCAGTGCGGGGGGTGCAGGAGGCAGCTGATCGATGCTTCTCTCTCATGAATGTTTCTGGCTCACTGTCCCTCTCCCTTCCTCTCTGTAAAAAATCAATAAAATATATTTTTAAAAAAAAATGGGCAAAATATTTGAACAACACTTCCCCCAAGATATACAGATGGAAAATAAGCATTGAAAGCATGTTCAACATAATTAGTAAGCAGCAAAATGCAAATTAAAACTATAATGAGATACCACTTTGAACCTTTAGAAATACTAAAATGTATATATATATGTATATGGAGCTACTGGAACTCTGAGTCCTTATTGGTGGAACTATAACATTAAACAGCCACTTTAAGCATACAATTTCTTCTGGCCCTCCAAGAAGCAGATAATTTTAAAAATCTCTATATGTTTGTAAATTATTTCTGAATAACCTGTGGATCAAAGTAGAAATCCTAAAGGGTTTTTAACTGAATTATACAGACTACATTTCAAAACTGTGGCCCAGCCCATGTGGCTCAGTAGTTGAGCATCAACCCATGAACCAGAGGTCACAGTTGGATGCTTGGTCAGGGCACATGCCCAGGTTGCAGCTCAATTCCCAGTAGGGGGTATGCAGGAGGCAGCTGATCAATGTTTCTCTCTCATCATTGATGTTTCTATTTCTCTCTCCCTCTCCCTTCCTTTCTCTCTAAAAAATCAATTTTAAAATATTTAAAAAAAAAACTGTGGGCACAGATAAAGCTGTGTTTATGGGTATATTTATAGGCTTAAATACAAATATTGGAAAATGTTTAAATCAATTATCTAAATACCTATATCAAGAAGTTAGGAGGGAAATATCAAACTAAGCCTGAAGAAATTAGAAGGAAGTCAGATATTACTGAAATTACAAATACATACATAAAGATAAAGAATCATATCCAAAAAATTTTGAAAAAAAAAACTAATGAAATTGATTAACTCCCATCTAGACTGATCAAGAAAAAAATGGAGCAAGTCCAATTAATCAATATCAGAAATGACAGAGAAAATAATTTTAAACTTTAAAAATTGAATGAACTCCATAATTAACTGTATAAGCAAACATCTTTATGTTAATAAATTTGAAATTTTTGTTGAGTTAGACATTTTTGAAGAATCAAAAGCACACCAGAGGAAATAGAACATCTGAATTGTTCTGTCTCCATTAAAGAAATTAAATCTATAATACTTTTCCCACAAAGAAAACCTCCAGGCTCAGATGGCTTTCCTGGTGAAATTCTACCAAACATCCAGGAAAAGTAATGCCAACATTACACAAACCCTTGCAGAGGATGAACAAACAAAAGAAAGGGAACATTTTCCAGTTCATTTCATAAGGCCAACAGAATCTTGATAACAAAAGCTTTCAGGGTAATCCTATATAATAAAAGGCTAATATGCAAATAGACCAAACAGCAGAACAACCGAACAACTGGTCGCTATGACATGCGCTGACCAACAGGGGGCATGTGTGGAACATGGTGGGCGTCAGCAGCAGGCGGCAGAGTGTGGAACATGGTGGGTGATGGCCACAGTGGGATGGTGGGGCAGGTGAGCAGGGACGCCAGACCAAGGCATGGCGCCAATCGTTGTCATTGGGGCGAGCCTCTGGTGGTTACTGAAAATTCTTTTGTCCCACGTGCCGTGGTCCCTCCTGGCAGTCACACCTGCTGCCGGCACCAGAGCTGCCACTCACACCTGCTGCCAGCGCCTGGTGCCAGCCCCGATTGCTCAGTGCCATCAACCGAGTGGCAGTGGGTATAAGCGGCAGCTGCCTACCCCAATTTCCCCTGAGGGATTCTCCACCTCCCCCTGCTCCTGAAGGACATTCGGGGCAGCAGCCGCCGCTTGCACCATCAGTGGGTGCGAGCGGGGCCGGTGCCATCAGCACATGGGAGCTACAATGGCAGAGAGGGGACCTGGGCCCGCAGCCAGAGGATCCGGGCGGGGGCGCAGAGGATGGGCCAAGACTGCCCCTGTGCCCACCTCAGCCTCGCAGCCCACAGTTCCTTTCAAGGTGCACAAATTCGTGCACTGGGCCCCTAGTTGTGATAAAGAAAACCACACACCTGTTCTCTAATATAGTGTCTGAAGATGGACCCATTTCATGTTGTAATCACAGCTTCTATGCATTGTGTCTGCAGCAGTGCTGCCTCCAGGCACATACTGAGTACAGACTGAGACCAGGTGGAGTTTGGGTAGCTAAATATATTCTTATGGGCTTTGCCTCACCCCAGGCTAAGATGGGGCCTTAGTGCTAGGCCCTGCTCCTAAATCCTGAATATGGGTAAGGCTGACTGCTGAAGATAGGAAAAGAGCCTCTAACAAAGAGAAGATCAACTCGGAGACATACAGAGGGGGAGACATGGGAAATGCTAGGGAATCATAGCTCACTTCCTACCTTTTCTTTGCACTATACAGAGAGGTTCAGCAAGAGAAAGGCCAAAACCTGTGGGTAGGCCTTGAATTGTCCCGCTGGGGCAATGGGAAGTGGTTGAAAGCTTTTGACACAGTGATGGCCATGCTTAGAAGTACACTTTAGGAAGACTAGCCTGGCAACAGTGTTTAGAGAGAGAGCTAGTGATAGAGAGTCTACTCTAGACACAGAGTTCAACTGAGGAAAAGTGAGGCCTGAAACTAAATAGGTCGTGGGTTCATTGTGGATGGAGGCCCCTTATCTGGGGGACTTGTTTTAGACTAATGGACTCTTTCCTTTCTCCCTAAAGTCGAAAAGTTGAGGTTCCCATCTTGGATGGTACGGTATTATTTATAGGAATAGGGAAATTCAGAGAAGAGAAGATTTGATGAAAAATAAAAATATGATGTGAATGTCAGAGGCCACTTATAGGGAACAGAGTATAGCAGGTGCTTGGCGTGTCATCCAGGAATTTGGGGCCTTTCGACCTAGGAGTCTGGGCTTTGTTTCCGTCTTAACCACTGACCTCCTCTTTAATCTGTAGGCCATTGTTGCTTAAGGGTACAAATCAGTTTATTTATTTAAAAAGCATTCAATGGGTGACTTCTATGTTTCAAGCATTTGGCAAAGGCTTGTCAAAAATATCTAAAAGGTATGCTGCACATAAACAGTTTCTAAAATACTGTGTGTTTTTTAATAAAATTTACTTTCTCGTGTATCATTTAAAATACTAAAACTATAAGCTTATAAGATTGTTTAAATTTTAAAGTTAATTAATTTTATTTACTTTGTTTTATTCAGTCGAATTAAATGAAGAAAAGAATAAAGAACTGGTAGAGAAAATGGAGATGGAAATTTCAGAGTTAAATGCAAAGTTAAAAATTCAAGAGAAGGAAAAACAAACTGAAATAATCAAACTACAGCTAGAGGTAAATGTTTAAGACTTCTACATTTGAGGATCCCTTAATTTAGACTGTACTTTGGGCATTTTTTTATCACAGTGAGATAAATTCGGAAGTAGCATTCTCCGCAAATGTCAGCTATGCTGACATTCAACACTTGGCCTGAAGGTGGGGCTCTTCAGTCGTTCAAACGTCCTGGTTTCTAGAGAAGTATTGTTTCCTCTGAGGGGGTCAGGTAACTCAGGGATTACCTGCATTTTACAGCTGAGTCCAGGCAGGCTTCATAGGACTGTCCCCCTCGCCCCCAGTGGGGAGTGTCTCTAATCCTTGGTATTACTCTCGCCTCTGCAGAAATGGTGGAAACATGTAGAAATTCCTTTCTCTTAGGATCAAAAGAGACAAATGTCTCCTTAACAAATGTGTAGAATATCATAGAGGCAGACAAGCCAAACTTTTTTTATTTAAAGCGACTTCAAATAGGGCATCTGGAAGGCTGAGGTTCTAGTTCTTGACTGGAAAGCCCTTAAGTAGGTTCCTTAACCAGGTGTCAAAATATAAAGATACTGATATTTGACAACATATTTGTTCCTTAAAGCTTTTTCTAAATTTTACTAATCTCCCTTTCCATCATTTTTTATCACATTCCCCCATCCTGACTCCCACTTTACCTTATGGTGTCATAATTCACCATTAGTTAAGATGATTTACTTTCATGTTCCAGCTGGTTTGGTATCCTGGGGTTCTTGGTGAGGTACAGTGTTGAAACATGTATAATCATTAAGCAAAAGATGGCTCTGTTGACTTCAGAGGCTCTTGGTGGTTGCTACTGCCTTCCATCAAGTGAACCCACACACCACGGAAAGGCTGGATGGGCAGCTGAGACACAGAGGAACTGCTGTTAACTCCCACCCCTTGATTGGGGTGTGCATTTTATTTGCCATCTGGACCCTGTTAGCCCAAGTCTGTTGTGTGACTGACAGACAGAACTCTTCCTGCTGTTTATTTTCATCGTCGTGATCCATTTCTCTCCTCAAACCAGAACACAGTCTCACAGACAGTTTATTCTTAGTCCACAGGAAGGCTGCACTAAACTCAACCTGAAGGAAGAGTTATCATGGGAGATTTTGCCAAAAATATGGCCTGTAAGAATGACCTTACAAGAATTTTTTAAAAAACCTGATTCAGTTTAATGTCAAATTAGCAAGAGTTCAAACTAAATCAACAAAAGCAAATCCAAATTCTATTATTCCGTCTCAAAGTCTGTACAGAAGGGTATATGAGTTTTCTCTCATGACTATTAATTAGACGACATTTTTTTTACAAAAACACTTTGCCCAGCCGGCGTGGCTCAGTGGTTGAGCATCGACCTGTAAGCCAGAAGGTCACAGTTCGATTCCCCATTGGGGCACATGCCTGGATTGTGGGCTTGATCCTCAATGTGGGGCGTGCAGGAGGCAACCGATCAATGATTCTCTCTCATCATTGGTGTTTCTCTCTTTCCCTCTCCTTTCCTCTCTAAAGTCAATAAAAAAATATTTTTTTAAAAAAGCACTCAAAGTAATGTGAAACATTATCTCTCTTTAGGTTAACTAGATTCTCAACCCTCTTAACTAGATACTTAACCCTGCATGATAGAAACACCTGATATTCTAAGAAAAGATGATGCTAACCCCACCCAGAATCTCTAGGGTAGTGCCCAGTATTGGGTACTTTTAAAAAGCTCCCCAGGTAATCTTAGCATGCAGCCAGGGTTAATCTTGTTTGGGTGTTCTTTGCTCTATTTCTTAAAATAAAGACTTTTCTATCTTCTGTTACACCTCGAATATACTTAAACTAGAGGCCCGCTGCACAAATTTGTGCACCAGTGGGATCCCTCAGCCTAGCCTGCAGGATCGGGCTGAAACTGGCTCTCTGACATCCCCTGAGGGATCCTGGATTGTGAGAGGGTACAGACCAGGCCAAGGGACCCCACTGGTGCACGATTGGGGCAGGGGAGAGACGTGGGAGGTTGGCCAGCCAGGGAGGGACCACAGGAGGGCTCCAGGGCATGTCTGGCCCATCTCACTTAGTCCTGATAAGCCAGACCCCAGCAGCAAGCTAACACTAGCCAGAGTGTCTGCCCCCTGGTTGTCAGTGCACATCATAGTGAGCGGTTGAGCGGCCTTGGCATATCATTAGCATATTATGCTTTGATTGGTTGAACAGCTGACCGTTCTACTGGACACTTAGCATATTAGGCTTTTATTATATAGGATTACAGATTAAATGTCAAAGGATATAATGGATTGCATTTATATTTATGGAGACAGTTGTTTCTAATTGTTTAACTAGAATGTTCCCAATAACTTTCTTTTTAAACTTGATTCAGTTTGATGCCAAACTAGCAAGAGTTCAAACTAAACCAAAATCATATCCAGATTCTACTGTTTTGCCACAAAGTATCTACAGAAGGGTAAGTTTTTCTTCCATGCTTAAGAAAATAAAGTTTCTTAGTGTGTTTCCTTCCATAAAAGTTGTCAGTATTTACTAACAATATACTTAATACTTTTTCTTAAAATACATCACACAATCAGAAAGATTAGATTTTGAATAATCTTTAAAGGTCACTTTCAATTTAAACTCGTAAGTCTTAGTGGTTAATTAAAATACTAGAGAAGTCCTCTGACTCTGGATGGTCTAAGGAATTCTGTGATGTATTTTGAACTAATGTGGACTGACTTCTGAAGCTATTTCAGTACACAGTACATTTCTTTTTGTTCAACTCCTTCTTTATTTATGCTTTACAATTTCAAGTTCTCTAGGGAGAAGGGAACAAACTAAAACAAATGGTGCTAATGTGTATTTTTGCATCCTTATGCCAATTTTACCCCATTAAGTCCCACAAAAACAAAATTACACTTTTTGAAATGTAAGGTCTTTTTTGAATACCTACTTCTATTTAAACTAGAATTTTAGTTTTTGTTGTTGTTTTGTTGTTCCTTGTACTTAATCTTATCCTTTTTGGATTACAATAGCAAAATTTTTCTGCTTTATTTAGAAGCTTCAACATCTTCAAGAAGAAAAAAACAAGGAGATTGCAACTCTTCGTAACACCATTCGAGAACTGGAGCAGCGCCTCTCTGTTGGCAAGGATCCTCACCTTAAACGTAGACGGTTTTAAGGACAGCAGTAAATTCATTTGTTGCTATTTAACTCCTTTAAAAGCAGTTGAAAACTTTACTTCTGTTGTTAATATAATAAACTGCCTAAATAATAACAATGTAAGAGACAGCTTTAGACATTTTAAATTGAGTTTATTGAAATAAATCCACACTTTGGCCAACTATATACTGCATTCTTACTTAATAGTATTAACCATAACGGAGTTCAGGTTCATAGGACTTAGTTTACCTAGTGAACCATCATTGACTATGGAAATACTTGCTAAGCAATCAAGAGATAGACAACATTCTTTTCTCTTTCCCCCTATATCTTTCAAGAAAGGCATTCTCAAATCTTAAAGAGTTTGATACAATGCAAGGTAAAGAAAACAATAGATAAAGCCTTCTTTCATAGGTGATAATAAAATTTAAGATTTGAGTCTTAGATATAAAAAAGTATAAATGGATATTTAAAATGTAGTCAGTAGCAAGGTACTCATATGTTAAGTAGCAAGAATTCACTTCTTCCTTTAAAGGTATAATCAGTTAAAACTGTAAGATTGAAAAGACAAAGGTAACATTGTTTTGAGAATTAAGAAAAAATGGAAAGCATGTCTTTGTTGTTCTTCCTCCATTCTAAATTGCTAACTATCCAACAGGAACCCCTAGGTCATAGTTTATGTTCCTGTTCTCATTAATGCAAGTAGAATGCTGGAAAAAGAAAAAGAAAGACAGACTAACCAAGCACTGCAATCACCTTTCAGTTGCCCTCTAATGAAAAAAAAAAGGTTTGGGTCAAATTTTTCTTGGGCATAAATCTTAAAATTTGGAAGCCAATATAGTAGATTTCTTCATTTGCACAAATCCAATTCCTAACTTTTACCATTATTTATTAGGTAGTTTATAAATATGCTAATCGAAATTGTGTCTAGACTGACTTGGGAGTATATCCTAGTTTAGATATTTAGTTTGAAGGTCACTGTCACATTTCTGCCTCAGTTTTTCAGCTTCAGGTGTTGCTGGCTTCTGTGGGCTCGAGCTGACCTGCCTGTCAGGCCGCGGGAGGCAAGCGTCACTGTCAAGACTCAATGACGTTCTCCTCGGCCCAAAGCCCCAATCAGCTGCATAAAGAGGGGAGGGCTTCTCTACACTGTCAGGTGATTGCGGACCCTGTGTGCTCAAATACCAGATGGCGACAGTGTCAGCATCAGCTGCTAGCGGCTGACTCTGACTCTCTGGGCAACTTTCAGAGTAACTGATTTATACACCTCTTTCCTCAGAGTTTCTTCTGTGGAGAAGAGAGTGGTAAACTTTCACTTCCTGGCTCGTCTCAATGCACAGGGTGACCCTGTCTTTGGGGGCTCTTGAGCTTAAGGTGGTGGTGAAGACCTGGAAAAGGGACGCGCTCAGGCGCGTTTGGTGCCGCTGGCTGCTGGTCCTCCGAGAGCTGGGCCATGGGAATGTGCTGATGCCCATGCTTGTGATGGTGGTGGTGGTGGTGGTGGTGGTGTGGCTCCGGAGCCTCGGTGGTTTTGTTCACAGTAGGCAAAGATATGTTCTTACAGAAGTCTTCATCTTCCAGTGTCTGAAACAAATTCATCAATCACTCATCAACACGTGCATAGATTCAGCGTGAATGCCCGAAAAATGATTTGCAGGGCGACCATGAAACTCCAGCTAGTTCCCTAGGATGGAACTGGCTTTGTGTGTTGGGAAAGAAATCTCAGTAACGAGTAGAAAACGAATCCCATTTCAGAGTAAATGCCGTGATCCAACTGCAGGACGGCAGGCAGCCTAGACCGTGGGAAAAGCTGAACGCCTCGCGCCCTCGCTCCGTGAAGTCGTTCCCTGGGCCCCGCTCCAGGTCAGGCGACACACTGTGGTCGCGCTTTGCTGTCTCTATGCTCTTGCGTGAACCACGCTCAGGATTTTACACTGACGTGCCTTTATGTTGGCTGCGTTCTTGGAGCACTTACACTCTCACAGCATCATTTGCTGGTAACTGCAATATGTGATCTAAATCGTTTTTCATGCTCTAAACCAGAGGTTCTCAACCTGTGGGTCGCGACCCCTTTGGGGGTCAAACGACCCTTTCACAGGGGTCGCCTAAGACCATCGGAAAACACATATTGTTTTTGTGATTAATCACTATGCTTTATGTTCAATTTGTAACAATGAAATTGGGGGTCACCACAACATGAACTGTATTAAAGGGTCGTAGCATTAGGAAGGTTGAGAACCACTGCTCTAAACTCTAGACCAAAGCGGCAATATGGATCTTGAAAAGATATCTTAAAGAATAGGTCACATGACAGGGAGTGTGTGTGATGATAAAAATTACTGTTGCAGTTTCTTTTTAGTACACCAACAGTGACTAGCTAACTTGGTCAGGAAACATTAACTTATTTCGATAACTCCTTAAAGATCTCCTCTTTTCTCCCAGTAAAAATCATTGAGGAAAATACCGTGAGAGAGCAGTTTCCACATTTCTCTTCACAGTAAGCAATCTTAATGGCCTGCTCCACGAACGGGAACCCTAGGATGGAGAGAGGCAGGCCAAGGTGATACACAAGGCGGCCACACCTGGAAAAAAAGGACAAAGATGGCGTCATCACAGTGTTCTCTGTATCGTGCTCCTGCCCCAGCGCAGTTGGAAGAAGGCTGTGTAGGGCCAGGGGTCTCATAACTAAGACAGGTCGGACCTTCAGGAATGGTTCTTTGGCGGGACTCAAGCTTCCTGGCGCTCAGCCAGCTCAGGTCAGAGCAAGATGCAGTGAGTCTAACACTAGCTTTTAGAAATGTTACAGATATCTCGCTATAAGCAATATCAAAACTGTAGTCTAGTCATTGTGACTTGGTCAAATATAGTTTTGTAATTGACCTAAAAATTCTACCCATGCCCAAACCACTGACATCACAAATTAATCTCTGCAAATCATATGTGCTGCTCACAGCTGCTAAGGCAGCACGAAGTCCACACAAGAAGTCACAGCCTGACAAAACATCCTAGACTCTTGGTCAGTGGTCCATTTTCTTAAAAATAAATCTGAAGCAACAAAAACTTCACAATGAAAGACACAGTGTTACAACATTGGGCATGATCAGAAATGGTGGAGGTGAAATGCCCTTCTTGCACACATTTCACCCAGTATATACGATTCTCTGTGAATAGCAAATATTTATACTTTGCAGTAGAACTTTGAAGTCCTAAAAGGATGACATAATATTAAAAATATTTCAAGAAAGACCAAGGAGGACTTAGGCCTGGCCAAGTCTGGTTCACCATCTCTGAAGAACCAACAGGAAACACAGTGCCCACTAGGAATGTTAATAACATCCTAATATATGCACTGTTTTATTTGTTCATGGAATCAAAAGCAGATTCAATTATTATCCCTAAATAATTAACACAGTTTATAGTTCCAAAATTCAGGTATGCAGTCTTAAAAGTATTAATTAGATTAGAGATAAGCAAGTGGTCTGCAGAGTGTGGTTCTTTTTGTTTGTTTTCTTTATTTTTATTGTTGACACTATTACAAGATGTCCCCATCCCCCCTTGCCAACCTTCACCCAGCCCCTACCCCCACTTCCCTCTGGCCATGACCACACTGTTGTCTGTTGTCTGTGTCTATGGGTTATGCATATATGTTCTTTGGCTAATCCCTTCACCTTCTTTCATCCAGTCTCCCCAAAGTTATTCTCCTGCAATATTCTTAGATTAGAATTGCACGTGATATACAAATCGATCCTCATTTGTGTTTAACCAGAACACCAATTTACAGGGGGGAAATATAGTCAGTTTTCTTTAGTTCCCTACTGGGATAGTGAATTTTTTGTGAAAAAATTATTTCAAAAATATCAGAACCAAATATTTTAATGGGCTCACTTTGAAACTAAATATTTGGTAATAAAATAAAAGCAAGGGCCTTATCTCAAATCAATTTCTATTAAATTAAATACAAGCAGGCATCTTTAATTTCTGGTGTTGTACATGGGTGTATGTGTGTGTATGTACATACCTGTCATATATGAGGAAGTCATCTTTGTTTCCATTTAAGAGAGTCCAGACATCTGTTTGGCTTTCTTCTTGTTGATAAACAGGAATATGTTCTGAAACCGCATTTTTAAGAAGATTATATCTTAATCGAGAAGGGGGTCCTTGATGATTAACAACAACATAGGAGATGTTAGAAAAACCTTCTTTCTCCAGCTTTACTCGCAGGTCTTCCAAACTAAAATATTTGGGAAAAATACAAAAAAAAAAGATTAATCTCACTTAATTTTATTAGTGACTTATCTCTTCCTCCTCACTCTTCGTTTTCTACATGAAACATTCTTACTATGTTTTACTTACTCATACCCCTTCTATATAGTGTAAAGGACTAAAACTTTCATTTTTTAAATTATTTACTGAGCACTTGTGCCCAGTTAAAACCTTATGCTAAATGCTTACACAAACGTGAGTTCATTCTGTTCTCAAATTAATCCTATGAAGTGTATATTTTTAATCCATCTTACCAAGAATTCTACCCAGTCAATATCTGGCAAGTAACCCAACAAATATTTTTACACATATTTGTTATATAGATTTAACAAATGTATGTAAATATACATGCTTGTTCAATGACCCAAGACCTTTGTGGCAAGTCTAGTGTTTCTTCTACTCTGGTGAAGCCTTCATCTTTGCTTGCTACCCTGAAATGACTAAGGTATTTGCAGAGTACATTTCAGAACATTTCCATTACACAAGTAATACCTATGTAGGAGGACAGTATAAAATACAGGTCCACAAAAGGAAGAAAAAATTGTCACAGTCCCAGGAAAACCACTGTAAACATTTGGCGTATATCCTCCTATTCTTTTTTCTTCTAACATGTTCTATCCAAAGATGTATGGTTTTTCCAAAAATGTGATTTCATAAATATATTGTTTCTATTTTTATTTTACTTTATGTCTGTATTTAACAGTTTCCCTGAAGAAGGTCCAGACCCCAGACCCCAGCAAGTCCATCTTACCTAGAGGCCTGCCTGAGGCAGAAGGATCAGCTGGCTTGCAGAAGGGCGACCAGGACCACGGAGCCAGAGGAGCTCAGCATTGGGTCCTGCTCCCCGATGCTCCAGGCCGGAGGTGGCTTACAGAAGGGGCTTTGCCCCTGGCTCTCCGTGCCTCCCCAGGGGAGGAGACAGAGAGCCAGGGCGATCCCCAGGCTTCTCCACATTGCTGGGCTTGTCCTGAAAAAGAGAAGCGCTTTCTGTCATCTTCAGGGACGGCTTCGGTCCTCAGCAGGCATTTCTGTTAGTCCAGTATAACCCTCTTTCCTATAAATATGTAGCCCTGGGTCCCGTCGCCACGTTGTTGGGCTCATTATGTTGGACCTCCATGCACCAAATCTTCCTTGAAAGGTGAAAAGGTCAGCCAGAGGCAGGGTAGGGGTCCAAGGACCCCTGAACTGTCCAGCTTAGCGAGATGCTACAGGCAGCACGCCATGGAGATGTGCCTGAAAGGGAGCCAAGCCCACCTCCAGGAGACGGTGCGTGGGAAAGTTTGAGACTCTGCCGCCATAACTAAGTAACATTCTGTAACATGGTTTGATTTTTGAGATACACCAAGTTCTGATTGCTTCTTTCCACCCTTGACCAATCTAAGAAAGGAAAGGGTACACCGGGGATTCTGCACGGAAATGAACAGAGCATGAAACGGAGGTGGCTCACGGGAGGCCCTGAGCTCTTCAGGAGCAAACCTTCTCATTTGTAAATCTCTTGGGTATAGCTCCCTATTGTCGCTCCTGTTTCTAAAAGCCTAATGCTCGCCCTCGCCGGTTTGGCTCAGTGGGTGGAGCCTCGGCCTGCAAACTAAAAGGTCCCAGGTTCGATTCTGGTCAAGGGCACATGCCTGGGTTGTGGGCTCGATCCCCAGTGGGGGGCTTGCAGGAGGCAGCCGATCAATGATTCTCTCTCATTATTGATGTTTCTATCTCTCTCCCTCTTCCTTCCTCTCTGAAATCAATAAGAACATATTTTTTTTTAAAAAAAAAGCCTAATGCTCTGCCGATATTAAAGGATCTGAATGTCTTCAGATAGAAAGCTACCTGCCCAAACGTTACTTCCACATCCAAGATAAGTACGGACCAAGGAAAAAACCTTCCTGCGGAGAAATACTGCATAGCCCCTGCCCCCTGTGCCATTAAGACTCACGGAAATCTACACTCAATTAGTCTATTGGCTGCAGATACTTTCTGAAAGTTTCTGTGACTCGACGACACATTCTTGGGTAAAAAGTTGCCGTCTCTGAGTAGGAGAGTGAAATGCCTGCCTGGAACCATTCCCAGCGCTAGGGCTAGCTCTCAGCAGGCAGCTACAGATAAAACCGGTGACTGGTAGGAGGCGGTGAAGAGAAGAGGACACTCAGCCGAGAGGAGCAGAGCAAGAAAAAGCCACACCTGATCATTTCAGTGTAAGACTACGGAAAGAGACGGGGGCAGAATTCCAGAGCCAGGAAGCCAGTGCCTTTTCAGGAACAGACGTGGGATAAAAAAGAAAACCAGTTTGTATTTAAGGGGGAGGGAGGGAGAGAATTGGACGCTAATGATAAGTTTCCCAGAGTGAGCCCAAAATCAAGAGGCTAGGATCAGATGGATTGGGGCTCAGTGCACAGCTAGATATAGATGGGACTCATAGCACCTGGTTATCTTCCACATTATTTAACACCACAAAATTCCTACTTATATTTCATAATAAGAGCCTAGCTAAAGGAGGAGAGGGGTGGTTAAGAAAGAATAAATAATTTATTAAGGCCAACCCAACTAGTATAGCATTTTAAAAACTCTAATATTTAAAAAAGGAGAAGATATATCTAGATGAGATCTAGGGGATTCTTTAGTATAGTGTTTGTATTGATATAGTTATCCTTATTTTAGCTACCATTTATCGAGCATTTAAAACTGGATGCAGGAGTGCTGAGCAATTGCGTATATCATGTCAGTTCATCCTAACAACCACGTGAGCATTATTTTGCAGTTGAGGAAACCGTGGCGCAGAGGGAGTTTAGGCAGCTTGCCCACGTCCACACAGGCAGGAAGATCCCAGGAAGACTGGGCTCAAACCGGTTTGCTGAATCTAAAACCTGACCTCTTAGCTCCTGAGATTTGGGGTAGTTTGGAGGTAGGTCGCCTGTAATAACCACAGCAGCCAGGGCTTTTTGTTTGTTTGCCGATGCCCTAGAATGGCAAAGGGGGCATTAAAATCATGCAGGCCGTTTTGTTTCTTCCTGGGATGGCTAGTGTATCCCTACTGCCTAGAATCTAAACTCAGTCAATACAGAGCCTTCAGCATAAAGTCAGCTCTTGGCACTCTCACTTTTCCACAGCGCGTAATGTTCAAATGTTTGCATAATGAGTATAAATGAAAAGGCTATTTCACTCCTGTCCCTTATTTTGTTTTTTGATTAAAAAAAATAATAACTCAAGCCATCGGCAGAGGGTAGTGGATTAGAGTTCACACTTTCAGATTACCCTCTGTTGTTGTAACCGACAGGCTGTTCAACTGTGTTTAAGATCTTTTGTTTTTTTTTTACATAATAGACTTTTGATTATAATTACAGCTGTCAGACAGTTACATAAAAATAATGAAGATAAATAACCAAATTGGATTTACTGGCATCTGATCCAATAACAATTAGATCTTACTTATAAATGTCACTGATCTCACCACTTTCAATCACAAAACCTGATTTGCCGGCCACAGGCAGACCCACCTTGGTTAGAATTCCACATTAGAAGCCAGGATATCAGAATCTTCCACATTATTTAACACCACAAAATTCCTATTTATATTTCATAACAAGAGCCTAACTAAATGAGGAGAGGGGTGGTTAAGAAAGAATAAATAATTTATTAAGGTCAACCCAACTAGTATAACATTTTAAAAACTCTAATATTTAAAAAAGGAGTTTCCTATCCTCTTCCCTTGAACTTCGGATGGGCGTCCGCGGGCCCTTCCTCATTCACCTGAGAGCACCCACTCACCATTGAACTGCAAACTCTGTCCCAGGCACCGATCATGACATGCGTGCGAGTACCTCTTGCAGGGGTGACTATTCCTGCACAGTGGACCAAACCTGCTCTCCCTTCCTTTTTCTCTCTTTTCTCCAACTGCTCACAATATCCCGGACATTCCTAATCCCTGTAGAATGGCCTCTGCTCTTCAACTCTGTGGGCTATTTTTGCCCTTCGAGTCCTCACTCTGAATTTCAGCGGGAAGTACTTAAGCTTGAACATGCAAAGTTGCCCCTAGAACATCACCGCTTTTGCGGTCAAAGTGTCCAGTTTCTCCCCCTCCCCTGCTCCCACCTGCAAGCTCAGCTGTGCCGAGCGGCAGAAACCCCAGCGACCAAGGTGCCCGCCACAGAACCACACCCGCCACACCCCGTGTAACAGGGCTGTATTCTCTTTCTTCTGTATTTTCTTTACCTACCTCTTCGTTTAAAACCTATTCTAAGAGGAAAGAAACGCTTCACCAGACTCAGAATCATCTTATTTACCAAACTGTAAAAGAATCCAGTGTGCAAAACAGAGTTCCTACTTACACAGCCCCTTCGAGGCCGACCTTCCTCTTTGCTCCGCAGCCGCTCCGCCAGGGCCCGCCAGAACCTCTGATATTTATAGTCCTGTTGTTTACCTCCCAGCACCTCCTCCTCCCTCTCCCCTCTCCCTCCCCCTTCCCGCCAGCCACAGTCTCAAGTCCACGCAGTCCCAAGTCCAGCTCCCTCGGCTGTGACCTTGTCAGCAGAGCACCGCCCTGAGCTGATCATTACAATCACCCCCAAAAGAAAGGATCAGGCACTGCCCTGAGCAACGTGGGGGCAACGTTTTTGGCAATTACTGATTTACTCCTTATCCTCTCTAGTCACCCCAGTATCTCGGATTGAATGGTACAGTCGGGGGCGGGAGGAAGGGCTAAGGGGAAAGAGGGCGTCCAAGTGTTTTTTTTTCCAAACTATCACAGGGAAAAACATGTGCTGAGCCAGCAAGTTAAGCTACTGCTTTAGAAAAAGAGGAAAAGAAAAAAACAAAAAACCTTTTTTCCTTTTTGCTCTGTGGCTGCGAGCCTAACCCCAACTGTGCACTTTGTTAGAAAAGTCACCTGCTGTTTGAAGCCTCCGGGTCTCCTGCTGCTACTGAGCAGCTCGGATTGTTAGCTGTTTACCCTGGCCAGTTTGGCTCAGTGGCTAGAGCATTGGCCTGCGGACTGAAGGGTCCCGGGTTCCATTCTGGTAAAGGGCGCATGCCCAAGTTGCAGGCTCAGTCCCCAGTAGGGGGTGTGCAGAAGACAGCCAATCAATGATTCTTTCTCATCATTGATGTTTCTCTCTCTCTCTCTCTCTCTCTCTCTCTCTCTCTCTCGCTCTCTCTCGCTCTCTCTCTCTCTCTCTCCCTCTCCCTTCCTTTCTGAAATCAATAAAAATATATTTTAAACATAAAATAAAATAAATCAAATCAGTGTGGCTCTCACAGGATCTCTGCTCTTTTTCACTTAAGGAAAAGAACAAGAAAATAGGCCTCCTACCTGAGGGAAAGCAAGCCTCACTTCGCTTCCACACAAGTCCTACTCCCCGAAGACCTGTGTATCCCACAGGTCTAATGTAAAGTCTTTGCAAAAGAAGTACCATGCAAATAAATGTTAGTAGTGACAGTGGTTGGACATGGAAAAGGGTGTGGACATTTCAAAACATACAAATAAAGTGGAAATCCCTGCTCTCTCAGAAAGGGGCACATGCTGCCCCTTAGCCTGCGAGTGAGCACACGCGGCCGGTGAGGAGCAAGGACAAGCGGGGCGTCCCCGTCCCCGGGCAGCGGGCAGCAATGCTCTTCCGTCGGCCTCGCTTGGCACTCCCACCCGCTCCGGTCAAACAGACCCCTGCTGGCTGCTGAGTGTTGGCAAGGGCTGTACAAGGTGCAGGAAGTAAAAACTTAATTTCTCCCCAGAAAAAAAAAGCATATAGATGCATACTTGCTTTTCACAAAAATATTGTGCACAATTTTTGTGAAAAGCAGATAGTCACCCCTGTAGTTCACTTTCTTGACAAAATAGTCATATTGGGCCTGTCTGCAGCAGGAAACAGTATTCCACCATCACCTCCTCTCAGAAGGATCCCCTCCCATGTGCAGCCAGGGTTGTGTGTGCTGTCTCCCCAGACGGCAACAGAAGATGGGGGGGCTTGTGGTAGTTAAAGGGGATCCATTCTTAGCCTCTCCTATACCAGGAGCCCTGAGAGCAGACAGCATTTTTTTTTCCAGCTTTTTATTTTTTTATTTGCACAGTCAGCATTTTTTAAAGAAACAGAATTTTAAAACAAACATGCATTGGGTGTTAAATCAAATTACATTAAATCAAGCAAAAGCAAATAAAGATTTATTAGGGCCTTACACTAGGCCAGTGATGGCAAACCTATGACACGCGTGTCAGAGGTGACATGCGAACTCATTTTTTTGGTTGACTTTTCTTTGTTAAATGGCATTTAAATATATAAAATAAATATCAAAAATATAAATATTTGTTTTACTATGGTTGCAAATATCAAAAAATTTCTATATGTGACACGGCACCAGAGTTAAGTTAGGGTTTTTCAAAAGGTTCACCATCACTGCACTAAGCCCTTGTTCTCAAGGAACTCAAAAATCGAATAAAGTATGCAGACAAGTACGCAGAAACACATGCTGTAAAGCGTCTTAATATCTGGGATGACTGTGACACAAGGTTTCTCGGGACCTCGGAAATGAAAACAGGGATACTGTAACCAGCCTGGAGGCAGGGCCGGCGTGTTAGGCCAGCAAAGTGCATCAGGCACTTTATCTTCGGTTTGACCTCTAGCCTCAGGTCACCCTGCCACTGCCCACCGTGCTGTCTAGAAAGCTGTCCCGTTTCCCTTGTTATGGCTACAGTCCCAGGTTGCTCTAGCCACCACCACAATCTCACCTTACAACTATGACTCTCAACGTTGAACTTTATCTTAATGACCTCATCTCTTACAACTTCCAGCCTGGAGCCAAGAACCTTTCTTCATACTGTCTCATCCTTTTCATTGGTCCCCAGAATGTTTACGCAGGCATGTAACCCATGTTTTTAATAAGCATTCTCTCCTTTTCATGGGTCTGAGGTGCTTCCCATGGAGAGCAGGCCCCTACAAATCTGTGAGTCCGTGATGTACTTCAGAGAGAGAGGGGCTCTGAACGGCAGTTTGATAAATCAGTTTATTAGCTACAGCAGGTGATAACACGGCATCGATCCATGAGCACCTCTGAAACACTGATGTCTCAAAATACGAGTGTTACTGCAACAGGAAGGGCCTGTGTAATATATTAATGCCCTGGGCTTGATTGTTAGGTGGTGTTTTACATGCAAAGGGAAATGAAGACTTTCCCACTATCTTGGGCAGTAGTGCCTTTTGGCCTAACTTATTCTTTCTTCCCTTTGCATATGTCCAAGAATGTGCCCTGGACCTCATCCTAAGCATTGTACCAGATATAGTATTGCTTGGGCATCCGTGTTGAAAGATATGCAAGGGACGCTTAGGAAAAAGCAAGATGTTCTCAAAGCGAACGCGATAAATAGGAACAATGGCCAAAGGAAGACTTGGGAACAGCAGCTTGAGGAGATAAGGACTAATTGGGTCCTTGAAACTGAAGCCTGCTTTGAAGGGAGCTTTTCTTCCAGCTCACAAGCTCTCAGATCTGAGGGCTGTTGCATAGATCAATCAGAAAGGCACTTCAGGAGGGAGCCTAATCCTGTGCCAGACTTCACGCGGGGCTGAGCCCATGCAGAGAGGAGCAAACATCAGAGGGATTTTTTGCTGGAAATGGGATGTTACTAATTTTTTAAAAGGAAACATGTCCAACGCTAGTGCCCTCAGCTCCTCATGGAACACAGTGTTGACACCAACGTGCAAGAAGCATGTGGGGGCATCAAATGACCCCCAAACGACATTGATCCCCGAATTACTGAAACACCCACCTTTATAGTGTGCCATCTGTGTTTTGACCTACAGCAACACCAGGTGCACATGTGAGTATGTTAACAGTTTGCTAATTGGTAGAAGAATTTTGACAATTTCCTTAATAAAACAGTTGTTAGTTTTTAAAAAAAAACAATGATAGTAATATTAACAATTTTTTAAAAAAAACAGCCATTGCTTGCCCTAGCAGGTTTAGCTCAGTGGATAGAGCATCGGCCTGTAGACTGAAAGGTCGCGGTTCGATTCCAGTCAGGGCACATGCCCGGGTTGCAGGCTCAATCCCCAGTAGGGGACGTGCAGGGGGCAGCCAATCAATGGTTCTCATCATTGATGTTTCTATCTCTCTCTCCTCCTTTCCTCTCTGAAATCAATAAAAATATATATAACAAAAATAAAACAGTCATTGCTTGAAAAAATAAAGAATACAATACTTCAGGCAACTTTAATGTATTTAAACTAACACTGAATTGTTAACATTAGGATGACATTTTAAGAATTGCCTATCTTAAAAATCAATGTTCTATTAACTTTTTAAGTTGTCCTTAAAAGTATCAGTACCAGAGCTTCATTAATTGTTTAAGCCTTGGGGAAGTTCTTTCGCACATTTTAGAGCTGAGTCCACCTGGCGCTTTGTAGCTGCATTTGGGCTCGAGCACACACAGCTGCTGTGCTTAGGGAGGGCCTCAGGGGTTTCCTTTAGTCCGGTGCCGCCACAGGAGACAGACAGAGTGTGGACAGTGGGATCCTGGCTCGCACCATCTGCCCTGCACTGCAGGTAGGCTGCATCCCACCTCCGCAAGTTCATGTCATAGTTCACCAGCACGGAACTAAATGTGTGGCTTTGATCAGGAACTCGTTACGTAGGCTTAATGATTTTTAGAAAACTGGTTTCCGAGAAAGAATACTTCTGGCAAATCTTGCACCATTGTTCAGATTGGTATTCGGAGTGGGTTTCGTGGAATTTCTCCCTAAGTGTCCCCATCAGTTTTCCCCAAATCTAAAATGGAATGCGTGTATTTCCCTCTTGTTCCTAATCTTGTATTTTCTAATAAGTGCCGCTCACCCATCATACTTTTCATGTCCTGGTGAATTGGCTAGCCCGGCAGGCAGTTCAGGGTTCCTGGCGGTAGGCCTGACCAGATTGGCTCAAAGCTTCAGGAGACACTGAAGTCAAAGGACCCTATAAAGCTGAAACCTGAGAGCTGAGGTTTGTAAAAGCCCAAATAAGTCAACAACTAAGAGGAACCTGTGGTGGGGCTCC